AGCGTTCTTTCAGGTCAAAGTCTCTCACGCAATGTATCGATCCCTCTTACAGGCAGCCATTTACCAGCGCATTCCTCCTATTGCTGGTGCAAACGGAAGTGGTTGACCGAATGGTCGAATGGTTAACGTGGTCGCACTTCAAGTTAACGCACATAAGTTCGACCGCGCGCGAGGTAGCATTTTGCGGCTGTCTGCGTCATCAAAATTTAATGTGCGGAATGATTGCGCATTAAGGTTACACAAGATTATTGAAACCTACAATCACTCCGCGAGCTGCCGGCGGAGTTGGCATCTTTCCGCGATGTGTGCCAACTTGTCGGCATCTTTGATGCCACCAGGTAGGGTAGATTACTACCGGCCCTAAAGTTTCTCTCCAAACAACCATCATAATTCGCTAACAACCACCACAGACAAGTGATCGAAAATTTCGCTGGATATACTCAAAAGAAACCTCGCTTTAAAACAAGCCCTTTGTTGAAAGTGCTGCGGAAGTTCCCGTTTCCAACCAGTCTCGCGTCAAATTTTGCAAATGCATTTCTGACCCTTGTACTTGATAGTAGGAAAATATGAAATTACTGCAAATCTGGCTTGTCGTGCGGAAGTCTCCGTGAGCTCTCTGGGACTGTTATCAGGGCCGGTAGTAATCTACCCTACCAAGTTGGCACACATCGCGGAAAGTTGCCAACTCCGGCGTGAACTCGCAGACTGGCAACAAGCAGAGCGCCGCAAAACATAGGCATCGCGCGCCCTCGAATTTGCATGCATCGACTTCGAACGCCAGCGCACTAACCGATCGACCACACGTACGTTGCGCTTAATTTTATGATGCGCCTTGATCTTACCAACTGCGCAGACTGTTTAACTGGAGCGCATTTTCTTCCTCAATGGGACTTTATCAAAGAAGAGCAGAGGAGGTTTGAAACCAAAATGTTGATATATTAGGTCGTTCCGAAAGTAATGTCGCTTTTTTCAAGTGAACGCTACATTTCGTGGGAGCAGATTTCTAGGAGAACTTGGTAGCGTTCGATGCAGCATTTCATTCTCTTTCTAATGGTTATATGAGAATTGCATAATGCTCGATAAGCTTCGAAAAAATTACCAAAATCTGCAACTCATGCTTTTGAGAAGGTCAAGTTTCACAATTTTTCTAAATTTTTACAACAATCCTCGGAAGGAGTTCAAGTAATGAATGGATAGAGCACCTACCGGAAATAGCACACCTTTTTTCTACTTCCCAAAGCTCGTCACAATTTTTGTAGAGATTTTTTGATGGAACCACCGAATTTTAGCAGGCTCGTCTCTGACACAAATGCATCAAACACCAATAAATCTTCGGATTTTGAAACTTACAAAGATGGATTATGGTTTGATTGAGCTGACCAAATATGGATTTTGATGTCACTGAGAAACTGATTCTAGAAACTCTAAGAAGCGATCTAAGGAAAAGAAAAAATTACTCTGTATCCTATAGGGTTTGCTCTATCTATCTGTCGCTTGTACTTCTTCGGAAAACAGGTGCAAAAATTTAGAAAAATAGCCAAACTTGATCATGGTAAAAATCATTGGTCGCAGATTTTGCTAATTTTTCGAGAGCTCATTGAATATTATGCAATGAAATTACAACCATTGAAAAGAGGACAGAATGCTGCATCGACTGTTTCCAAAATCTCTAGAAAATCTTGATTCCATGGAATGTGGCGTTCATTTGAAAAAAGCGACATTACTTTCGGAACGACCTAACATATCGAACGTTGGTTGTACAACGGATCTATATAGGATTTTACTTACATGAAGTTATTTATGCCCATTTCAGGTAGGCAATGGGCCGGAAGTTGCCCACTTAATTAGGAAAAGCTTAAACCCGCTCTTCACATGTTTTTTATAATTTCTCATACCTTGTATTTTAGTCCTATGCGCGTATACATGCCAAATTTCATGCCTTGTCATCTGTGCGTTGCAAACGAGTTTTTTCTCATCTTTTGGTATTGGAAAGTTTTCAGAAGAAAGTTTGCCGCGCCATTCAGACAGAATTTTTTCACAACCCTTCCCAGTTTGTTCCTCTTAGCCCTTGTTCGTATATATTAGGTTGCTGCATAAGTTCTGTCCGAAATTTTTTGCCTTCTGTTTGAAGCAGCTGCTCTAAGAGGATCTCATCTCTGATGCGATATTGTTAGTATCATTGAAAAGTGCTTTTCTTGCGCATTCTGAAGCATATCAAATTTCAATAAATTTCTTAGTGTAAGGAGATTTCAGGCTTAAAATCTCCAAGTGGCCGAGGTATGTTTTCACCCTAAAATTATGTTCTTGCGTGAAAATCTCCACAATGCGCCTTTCAGGTCAAGTTCTTTCATTGGCTGCGGAATAAGGGTGAAGAAGGCTAGTATATGCAAAAGTTCGGTTCCATAAACGTCTTGCTGGTAAAATTTATCGTCGAACATCAATTTTTTGTATAGATGTTTTACAAGCACTTTCTGTCAATAGAAGTAATCGACGACTTCAAAGTTGGAGGTCAGGGCCCGGCACGCGTTGGTTTGGAGCCTTTTGGGAAACGAAGTCCCCCAAGACTTCTTGGAAATTGACGAAGTCCCTCTTGACGTAAAAATCAGTAGGGTAACCCTTATATAATCAAAATAACAATAAAAAGCGAAAAAAGCGCAAATTTGAGGTATCCAATATAACAAGAAAGCAAAAAAAAACCCATTCGGGTTGATTAAAGACTCTGCCAATGGGTATGGTACGTTTTAGTGCTCAGAATGTCGAGAACCTTCTAGGCCGATCAAATCTGTGGCCTCAACAATCTGACGATGCATTTTTCGCCACATAGTTCAAAGGACACCGCATGTGATTGGAGCGCGATATCTATCAATGCCTAGTTTTACACTACTTTTGGCTCAAAAAAGAGAAGGGGCAATGGTTTGATTCGCTCTCTTCACTACATGATACATTTTTGACCGTCCTAATCGTCCAAATCAAAAAGATCCGCAACTTATGTGAACTCTCCGAGATTCATGCTCCGAACCAACCCAGTTGGTTTGTGTTGGTTTAAAAACCAACAAATTCGGGAACGGATATTAGGAAACATAAGTTTTTGGAACTTTTTACATGACATAGTTTGGAGTAATATTGTATACACATAGCCCAAATTCGGAGCCATGTGATTGTTTGTGCGCTGGTAACAAGCCATTTGTTTGTTTGAGTCTTGCGTTTGAATTTCGCGCGCTTGCGGAAAGGCACGTTAAACCCGTAAAACCTGACATGTTCGTCGTTTTTTTTTTCGGCGCTTCCCCCAGGACTTTATTAAAACGATATCCCCGTTGCCTCTAACCTCAAAAACGAAGTCCAGTTTGACCTCGAACCATCTGTGCCGAGCCCTGTTGGAGGTGCTAGGGTAAAGCAAGGGCTAGCGGAAACCATCCACCAACTTCTTTTCGGCGCTCACGTTAATTGTAAAATTTTCATAACTCGTAAATAGACATGCACACATGCACTGAGGCGAGGCAAAAAGTGGTTTCTTTTTTGCTCGGTCAAAAAAATCTCTCGGCAACGCAGACCCTATGGGCTCTTTCATGTCCCATGATAATCTGCGAAAAAGTCTCTATCTATCCATTGTTGGACAAGATGCCTATCAATTCTCATAAGGGAGCACTGCCATGTCAAAAAAGACAGGTTTGAAGAAAAACGCTCTAAAGTTTTTGAGTTCATGCTCCTTGCTTTACAAGGATTTTCGCAGGTTTCATTATGTGGCTGATAGCCAAGGAATCACTCAACACATAGAAACTAAATTCTTGGAAGAATGTTGACTTTGAAGAGAGTTATGACATTTTGATCTCAAAAAATTCAAATCGGACAGAACTTATGCAGCAACCTAATAGTTCATTATTTATTGTTTATTGTTATACACAAAAGTGCGCCAAAAAATCAAATGAAAACATCCAAAACATCCAAAAAGTTGCAAAAAATTATCCAAAAGTCATGCAAAAAAAATCATAGCATGTCGAAGATCATAGTTCCCTTGCTGGAAGGACCAGGTCGTTCTCCTTCTTCAAGAAGTGAGGATGCCTCTACCGAGTCCTTTTCCCTTGTCCGGACGCAGTATAGGAAGGCAGAAGATACCAGGGCTTGGCTGACCAACTTAACCCGGGACGGACGAATCCGTTAGGGACATTGTTTGATTTCCTTTCTGAGGCAAATCATGGTTCTCAGATTTTGACGTAGCCGTTTAATAATGAAGGACGAACGGTATTTCGCTCCATGTGTAAATCAATGTTAAAACAAGCTTTACAGAACGGTACCTGAAGATAGGCAAGAGGCAAGAGAGATATTAGCGATCAAAGTGTATAGATACATCCTTTTGAGATGCCCTATAAAAGAGGGTATGGAAATATGTGCAGACAACCGCTCAACAAATTCTATCGCAGCTTCTTCCCAAACATGGAAGGGTGTTAGTAGTGGTTAAGGTTCATACTGTCATCAATTTGAGCAGATTTCTTATGCAAAGGAATGCAAAGATGGTTGGATCATTGTACATTGACAGTAGGAGTGTAACTCGTCCGGAATCACGGTTCGGAAAGTTGTAAATGCACTATAAGTTCCGTATGAAAGTCTTTATAAGTATGAAAGTAATATAAGTTCTCACTTGCAGGTGCCAAACGGAACTTATAGGGACTTTCATACATGATCGCTGGTCTCTCTCAATATTGAATAAGCTCAGTTTTTTCTGGTCTTTCTGTTCTTAATTCGCTAAAAAAATCTCTATGTTTACATTCATCACTAATTTTTTGCACTCTATGTTAATCACTATTCTATTTCTACGCTTGCTCACTCTCATCGCTTTGTACCCATTCTGTTGTTGTCCGCTGTAAAGGCAAAGATTCTTTTGCTAATTCCCAGATAATAGTTTGCACTTTTTTACCACATACGTACAGTAGGGCCAGTGCGGATATATCATTGAACGGTAAAAGTATAAAGGCGGATATCGGGACTCATTGGCAACAGTCATTATGAGAGCTGTTCTACTCTTGGTTGCCTTTGGGGTTCTGATTTCTTCAAGCGCGGCTGGTGTTGGTAGGAATTATCTGCTTTATTTATAAAAGTGTGATTAAATCTGATTTCAGTCAATCGTAAGGAAAGATCATCGCCCCTCGGCGAACCTTTCAATGATAGTTTGAACACTGGTAAGTTGCTAGCAGTTGGTACAGTTTTTCTAGATTACTGGAGACAACCAGACAAATTCGGGTACCTAGGATCCTAAAGCAAATTTTTGATCGGAAAGCTTCAGATCGATCCATTAGCAAATCGGCAGCTCATTAATTTTCATCTTGCGAAAGAAATTCACTTATCTAAATCCTCGCCCACTACCGTATTCGACACACTGTTCAAGCTTCTAAGAAAACTATGGGCGGGAGTTTGAGCAAATCTTCTACCTTACGAGTAGATAGTACAATAAATAATAACTTCTTTGGGAATATCTAAAACAGAAATCCACTCACGCAACCCGCTTGAATGCTGCTTTTTATACCTTGGAATATTTTGACCACGCTTACAGTGACACCATCATCAACAGGAGTCCCTGACCCGGATCTTCAGAAATTGTACGAGTTCTTCAGAATCATAGAAAACGGTATGCAGCTCTAGCAGTTTACAATATCCGTACCTATTATGGCTTAAATACCTCGAATTTGCAGCAATGGAGGCACAAACAACAGAAAACATTAGAAGTGCACTAGACAAGTATCCTGTATGGGATCTTATTGGCCACAGTACGTCCCTATCTCTTACCTTAATTCATGAATAGAATTGTAACAGTCTTCTTTCCCAGTTCTGAATGGCACTCTTGAGATCGAAACGACTACCTTAGACCGAAGTCGTTGACGATAACTGACAGGGATTATGTCATCAGTTTAGTGAACGAAACCCTATTGCACTTGAAGATGTGTTAACTACAAATTGTATGCTTTGTTATCTGCCGGCTGAATGAATTTTAAACGTAAATCTAGTGTTGAAAAATTCCCCCAGCTTCTCCAACACATTTATCATGCAATAAATAATGTTGACTTCACCTCTATCAAGTAAGATTAAGTTTTTTTTAGCAACGTTGTTGAACAATATACAGGGTTGGGGGAAAGTCTTTGAACACGGTATTTCTAGAGTAATGATGAAGCTAGGCAAGATGATTATATGAAATCATTAGGTAATGTCTACTTAACTGTCTGCTACACAAAAATGGCTTTACAATCCAAAGATTCTTTCCCTGACTCGAGCACAAGCTCGGAAACGCTTGGGGACGCTGTCCATGGTGGCACGGAGGTGCTTCACGTCGATTTCTTCCAACGCCTTCTGAAGAGCAAGTCGCAGAGACTCTACTGTCTTGCGTGGGTGAGCGCAGGCTTGGCCTAAAGAACTGACCAGACCCTATAGTCGAAGAGATTCAGATTGGGCGAAAACGGAGGCTATTTCGCAAGAATAGTAAAGACCTTAAAGTTGCTGTGGAGACAAGTTTGAACAACCTTCGCTGTATGTTCAGGTGCGGTACCTGCTGGAAGCACCAATCCCCTGCAAAATGGATATTGGTCTATGGCATCAGTCGCTTCTTCAGAATGCTGTCCAAATACGTAGCAACGTCCACCTTGATGCCCTGAGGCGCTAAGATCAGTGGCATCTTGCCGCCGGAAGTGATCGCCACCCAAACCATCAGAAACGTCGAATGAGGCTCTCCTTTGGCGATTCAACCCCTGCTGGATGGCTCCTCTGAGCGATTAGGATATGATTCCTGGTGTTTTGGAGATTGAAAACCCGTTTTACGGCAAAAATGTTATCGTCAGAAAAGAGTGCCGTTCTGTGGCGTGCCTTGGAGAGACGTTCAAGCAGTCGATGGCATCTGCGCAGTCAGTTCAGCTTCGTGTCCTCCCAAAGAGCATGAAATTTTAGCATGCTAAAAAGAGATATGCATGGAGAAGATGCACGAGGAGAGGATGGCTTCATCGCTAGGCGCTCTTTTACAATGTCGGAGAGTGTCCTGTCCATCTCTAACAGGACACTCTCCGACATTGTAAAAGAGCGCCTAGCGATGAAGCCATTCTGGAGCCGGCTCAATCAAGCTTCGCCGAGGATTGCGACGAAGGCGTTGGCGAACGATTTTCGGAATTTCGTTACTGTCCGCAGTAGCCAATTCACCACTCATACAACAGTCCTGGGCGCTGTTCACATCCTAGGAACGAAAGGTGGAAGAAACCCTGATCTGTAAAATTTGGGGACCCGCGCAATTTGCTGGTCAGCCATCCTCTCCTCGTGCATCTTCTTCATCAATGTTCGCTCCATTCCAGAAGGCTTTTTTGAGGGCTTGTACTCAAGAGTATAAGGAGCAAACACATGCAATTAGCATGCAAAAATTTGTGGAAAAGCCGAACATACAATGACATCAAAAATTGTTCAAGGACTTTTCTCCAACCCTGTAACTACTCGCTTAGGATATGTGCATGAGTGGGACTTCACCCCGTTCTTTCCACTACTTACTCTTGTCGCGAAGTTGTTCTACAATGATTTTTGTGATTAAATGGAACGAACGCGAAAAAAGTGATTACAGCAAAAAATTCATACCGTAAGCGACAAGATTTTCAGTGGCTGTCATACACATCCTCTCAATGATCAAGTGCTCCTAATCACTGTGAGCAAATTTACAAGAAAACTAAAAGCTATGATATACTGTAGTTGTACTCTAACGAGTGCCTGCAGGAAAATCAGAAAGCTTCGAGAGCTGTTGTGTTAAAAATAACCTTATCCTGTGTCAAAAGAGCATCGACATGATTGCTGTCGTACTTCGTAAGCTTTCGGGAAAATGTTAGAATAATTTTTTATCCGGCAAATTTTTTAATTGCCTTGAGATGGGTGACAGCGGCTAATTAGAAGCAGAAATCTCGCTATGGGACTTCCACCCTATGCAAAAACGAAGGTAACTTTAAAAAATGAACTAAACCCGTACATAATCTTGGCAACTATGACTTCTGTTGATATTCACATAATGATGTCCAAAATATGCTCTCCTCGTAAGTGAAGTATAGAAAAAGGACAAATTTTCCGATTCGCCACGAAAGGTACGGTCAAATTTTCCGATTCGACACGAAAGGTACGGTCAAAAGCAGCTGACTTTTCTCCAAACAGCCAAAAATATAATGCGCTAGCAAGCAATTCTGGCAGTTGAGCAGATTCGGCTGAACATTTATGGAACAGGCCTCCAGCAGCCCTTTCTGGAAAGTGCTGCGGAAATTGCGAAAGTTTAAACGAAAATGTTGTCAAAAATAAAGCTATGGAAGGTAAATGTTGTCAAAAATAAAGCTATGGAAAGTAAATTAGCATTTCGCACATTTTCTTTGGTGATCAGTACAGATCGTGATAAAACTACACAAACAACTCATGTCAGGACAAACTGCCCAAAATTCAAATCAGTACTCCAGATTGTACGCCAAAAATCCACCAAATGGAAATCTGCCACCGTTTTAGATTGTCTTTGGTGTGATTATTGCCTCTCTAAAGCTGGATTTGACTTTTGGCCCTTCATTTAGATCCGACACAAAAGGATGCTGATCTGCCATCGAAGGCGATAAAGCTATGTTTGCGCAGTTGTTCACAGATCTGCTCCATACTCCAACATGCGCTGGCTGCAATGGACTTTGTTGGTACTTCTACTATTAATTAATGGTATGTTCTTTACTTCAAGTTGTGTAAACACTTTTTGTAAAAAAAAAACCAAAGGGAATACCATTTGTGGGTCATTATTATTTCTTTATTTCTCTTGAACCTGAGCCTGTGTAACTCAGCTACAGCTTACATGCCTGAAGGCAAAGCTCAGACAAACCGTTTACTTTGGAACCCTCGCTTGCATAGTCAAAGGGGGAAGGCTCTAGTTGGGCCTTCGTTCAAGCGGCGCGTATAACAAATGGTAGACAAATTTAACTTCAAAACTTCGTCCACTACCGTACTCTTTCCGCGGGGACAACACTCCTGTCTTCGAGTACGGTACCGGGCTAGAGTTTAGAGTTGAATTTCTCGGCCACGAGTAAATTATATGAGCTGCCGCTTGGGCAATGGTTTGGTCAAAACCTTTCAAACAAATTTTGAATACAGTCCAGGCTTTCAAATTCTGTCAAATCAGTCATACAGCGAATTTTTTTTTTCGCTTCGCTGATGGTTTAAAAATGGTCTAACATTTTTGGGTGCATCGAAATAAAAAAAAGATAAAAAAAGAAATAATCCTAATAAGATAATATGTCCAGAATGCTACGGTTCGTGCAGTAACAAGAAGGACGGACCATACTGCACCACACTGTTCAAAAATATCCTAAGGACCATACCGATCAGTGTAAAATGCACCCATTGGGTAGCTATGTTGGACGCAAATTACTTCAGGGTAAACTACTCTTTTACTCAACATTCAACGGTTTCATTAAATTTTCAGGCCGAATTATCTCTGCCGTACGAAAAACGAACAATGGTTAGAGAATATTGCCCAGTCACTTGTGATTATTGTGGAACTGTCACTTCAGCAAGTTCAACCAGCAAGGTTGGAGATTCATACAATTGTTTAAGAAGGCTGGAACCTTCCCAGATCTTTTGTAAACTTAAACTAAGTTGAGAAAATGCATAAATTAAGGCCATTTCGTCAACAAGTGCAGCAGCTTCTACTTCCTCATCACCAACAGTAACAGTTAATTTTGAACACTTCTTTTAGCATTTGAATTACCGGAATTTTGCAGACAAAACCTGAAGAGCTTTTGAAAGAAATTCTGGAACATGATGCGGAATTTAGAGAACTGACTAAAGAATACGGTAAGTGAGTAGATCTTGAGGCTTAATTTTGGCATTTTTTTTTTAGATCTAAGTAAGGACCCCGAAGATGCAATAGAGCGTCATCAATTGCTTGAGTCAAGCAGAAAAGAAGTGAAAGAGCACAATGCATTATATGAAAGTGGTCAGAGCACTTATAAGATGAGCGTGAACAAGTTCTCAGTCATGGTTAGTGGGTTTGAAATATTTATAAGTTAAAAATCTAAATAATAGCTGCAAACGTTAGAACATACTCAGAAGATATGGCGACTTGATAGACTCATTAGTCCCGCAGTACGAGTTTTTTAGAAACCGGACGAGTTAGCACCTCTAGCGCTGTCGCTTCCTCCACCAACACCTCTTGCTGATATCCCTCCTATCATGAGACGAAAGCGACAAACAGATAACAGCACAGTGGACTACCGACAGTATATGCAGCCAGTAGCCAATCAGGTAAGAGATGCTACCGTAATCGCTTCTGTTACTGTACGAAATCTTTAGCTGGATTGTGGTGGCTGCTGGGCATTTTCCATGGCGGCGGCTTTGGAGGGATTTTTTGCTTTGAAGAGTGGGTTTTACGAGTTCTTTAAGAAGAAGGTGCATCAATATTTTCACTTTTGCCCAGATTATGATATCCCAACACTTTCCGTACAACAACTGCTCGACTGTGATCGAGCAACAAGTTCCGAATATGGAGTAAGCAATCTAGGATGCGATGGAGGCTATTTTCAGGTTGACAGATCTCCCTTTTCTTTTATCCTCTTAGATACCATATATTTTCCTTCATTTCTAGGGTAGTGATACGCATATTTAGGTGGCTGCGGAGTACTTGAAGATTAAAGGACTTACTTCGGACATGGCTTATCCTTTCAGCGGAGAGGTACACCCAAATTCCATACAAAACGAAAAAAAGTTTTCTTTCGAAAGGCACCTTCCACCCAAACTGAGGTTGCTGGGATTTTGACGCATAATAGCGGGCCAATATTTCAGTGAATGCCAAAGTCCCGGTGCAAAAGATGAATTTCGTAGCGAAAAAAACGCATCAAAAGGTAGAAGCGGCCATATTGCTCCGCCCACCAACGGTGATGGTGGTTGGTCTAAAGATAAAAAGTCCAAAATCGGACTACAATGCATGTAGAGTTACCAAAACCTGCCTCACTATGATTATCAGGTTTTCTACATTTCTATCTACCCTGGAGCTCGCTTACAAGTTCGTTGTCTACAGACCACCCACATTGATGGGCGGAGCAACCTAAGTCACTTCTACTTTCCGGAGGAATTTTCTCACTTCGCAATTCATATTTTGCAGCGGCAATTGGGCAGTCTAATCAAGGGCTCCGCTATTATAAGTCATAGATACTCAGAATCCTTAATTTGTGGGCGTGCCTTCAAGGAGACAAGATGGCTCAAAATTACGACGAAAGTGGATTATTCGCTTTGTTGCATCACTAATCTTCAAAATAAGCCTACTGGGTTTCTTTTTTGCATAAATAGCGCGATACTACACTTTATACTATGCTGTCTAATGAGCTCCATCCAAAGTCAGAATTACTAGTTGAAGCTTCAGTCATCTACCACATGCCAGCTCTCTTCGCCATCAGCTTCACCAAAAATGAAGAGGTTTGATGCCGGATATGTCATACCAAACAACGCCACTATCGCGGCAGCCTTGGACAAAGTAAGAACTATTTCTCCATGCTTTTGCCGCCACTATGATGATATTAATATACGGCTCTAGGCTATGGAGGAACGGGTACGAAAAGGACCTGTTGCTGTTGGAATGGCGGTGAATACAAATATTTACAGCTATTCTGAAGGTAAGTCTAGCTTAATTCAATGGATAATGTCACGGGTCGGGACGACTCCGCGAGAAGTTGTGTGGACAAAAAAAAACTATAGGTTTCGTAATGATTTCCATGTTCCGTTTTCTTTAGACCTGGGCATTGTTTATAATCTTGAATCTTGAATTTTAATCTCTCACCTTATAATCTTAATCACGACGAAATTAAACATTATCTAAAGTTTGTCAAAGGTATTTACGATGGCTTATGCGGAGCGACGATCAACCATGCGGTCGTCATTGTCGGTTTCACACCTGAGTACTGGATCGTCAGAAACAGGTGATTTTCAATAATCTTGTTATAAGAGTATTTTTGATCTTCGAAGAAATGGAAATGAAGCCAATGTATTATTTGACTAGCCTCAATCTCTACATGCGAGAGACCAAGAAGATCCTATGTTTCAGCTGGGGAGCATCCTGGGGCGAGAGTGGTCACATTCGCATTTTACGCCATAATGGAGATCCTTGCAAGCTCACACGATACTGGGCGCAACCCACTGAGATTGTCTCACCTACGCAAGGACCAACAGGGCCAGGAAATGGTAATAGGAATAATGCCTATGCCTAGTAACATAATCAATACAATCAACTTCCAGCCATTGTTGTGAATACCGACGCGACTGACACGGAGTCTACGACAAAAGATTGCTGTGACGGACAATGCTGCGACTGGTGCGATTGTGAAGATGAGGATGATGATGATGACTTTTTCACAACTGAAAGAGAGGACTCATTAGATACAACAACGCAAACAACCGCAGAAGTACGTTGTAAATAACCAAGCGAATCTGCTTCATTTGGGACAATTGGGAGGTTATGACTGTGTATGGGCGAGTCATCGCACGCAGAGACAGGGCGCTACTGCGGACGCCTGCGTCTCTCGCCTGAAGCGCAATCTCATCTCTCTTATCGTCTGCAGACTCTTCCAAGCACGCACTGTCTTGGCCAGACAAAGTTCGGTCAGTCTTTGCGCGCGCTGACTCGTTTGTAGTTGCCAGACCCACATGATTCCCTTGGTCGAGATAATCTACCCCAATTTTCGCTCAGACCGTACTCTTTGCGAGCGGACCATAGAGCCGTCAAGCACGGTACGCCAATTGTCCCGCGCGGAAATATTGCGGTATGGGCGAAATGCTGCCATCGCTCTCGGCGCAAGTGAATCTATAAGAAGTACAAATACGCAGATTACCCGGACCCTTTAAAGAGTTTAGGGTAGCTTGTCTCTCTCGCCATTTCGAACTAATGCAAGTCCAAAATTAAAAGTTATGGCTTTTCTTCTGGGGCTTGAAAGTTATCCACTAGGAAAGAAAAATGATTAAAATGTATTGAAAAGAAATTTTAGGTAACATCCAGGACAATACCGCTTCAAACTACTTCACAGACCACAAAAGCTCCCTTGAAAACAACGAAGAAGAGCTGGCGATGGGAAATACCAGACAAATGGTACCATGGAAGAAGCTAAAACTGTTGTAACTGTTTTGTTTACTTATTCGTAGTAAATGTCGAATGTTATGAGAAATTTCCCAATGGGTAATTTCTTTCGTCGTTTCAGCGCTGGCGTTTTGTGTTCAGAAAAGTCCACTCATTGAAAAACCTGACAACAACTCAAAATCACCCTCATTTTCACTTTTACGATAAAACTCAAATAATAATACCTTCTCGCGCTTGCAGCAGACTGGTTGTGAAGTGAGAGGCCGAAAAGTATTGTGAATGAGAATAGATGCTATCTACAAATGACGAAAGAGATCGTCCTTTCCTAAAATGACACAAAGACTAAGCGTCAGCGCTGTACATCATATTTATTTAACGTGCTACACTGAATTATGAGTTAAAAATTCCCTGACCATTAGTGTGGCCAGTAGGGTACCGAAGCTGAATGAATGCGTAAACTTACGATGGTGGAATAGTATGCGTAGAATGGTCACTGAATACTAGCCGCACAAAACTGCCAAAATCTACATAAGACTACAGTCGAGTAGATTTTTCTCTCAATATAGTGTGCTTACGGTGCCGAAAATATGCGGTAAAATTTGCGCGTAAACAAATAGGTACGCCTGAAATGCCGTAGATTTGCGCCCGCAAGTGATGGTATTACAGGCTGGCTATTTGTTTACGCGCAGATTTGACCGCATTTTCTCGGTACCGCAAGCACACTACACTGATTGTACTACACACTACACAGCACACTACATATTTGTTTACGCGCAGATTTGACCGCATTTTCTCGGTACCGCAAGCACACTACACTGATTGTGAGTAGAAAATATGGACTGTGAGACGAAGTAAAATCGGGACAGGTTTCAAGGCGCAAAATTGTCTGGCTTTGACTCACTTTCAAGAAAAACTTATGAACTGCCACAGACACCTTTTGAAATTGTGAGCAAGTTAGCTATGCATGTGATGCTATTATCTGCCAGTTTTCGAGATTTTATGGTTTCTTCTAGACAACTGAGTAAGACGAATGCGTCTAAATGGCCTATTAAAGTCATTTTAGAAGTATAGGAGATTCATCGCATGCAGAGACTGAATGCTACTACGGACGCGCTACCGCGCCCAGCCTCTGCTTGCAATAACTTGCTCATATTCTGCTTCACACAATTTTGTTCCCTTTCTCGGAAATCTCTATATGTACATTCATGGATTTCTATACCTGCTGCCACAAATTTGTGAAACTGAAGCCCCGAACACATACCTTTTGGTGTCTTAAAATGATTTGGCGACCCCGAAACCTTACCGTACAAAACATGCCGCAAAGTTGAGTGCAACCACGCTGCACATGATTTACGCCTGAACTCAAGATTAGTATGTTCTTTTTGCGGTTGAGACCAAAAAAGGTATTTAGATATTTTTCCCAAGGTCGCTCTTCAAAAATTTATGGAGCAAATTTCTGAACAAGCTTCAGAATAAAAGTATCATTAACAGAGCATCATCGAGAACATCTACATCTAATTCCATCTTCTTCGACTCGATTTTAGCGTCTACAAGTTTGGTTGATCACGATTGCACAAACAAAACAAACGAACTTCGATATTAGGCGTAAATATGATGCAATCTGTGATCGCAGAGGAGCTCATTTAACCTCACGGCTAAATTTATTTTGATAACGGTTTGCTTTGTCTGAATAAAATATACAGCTTAAAAAATGATAAGACTATAAGCCTGGGAAAGGAACTAAAGCGAACGACAAAGTCAAGAAAATTCTAAACTTATGAGTTGCTACGATTCTGTGCAAAAAGAAGCAGAATTGCGTGGACGAGAGCATTGTGCATCTTTAATTCCTTCTACTGCCATCTTATATTCCAACATTGTAAAAAGCAGTATGCGGGTGACCTTGGAAATGAAAAGAAACTACTGCAAATACTTTCCGCTTCATCCGACTTCGCTATCCTTTTGCCGTAAACGTCGGATGTTGTGTGTCGCTGCGTATTGGTCATCTTACAGTATGTAAATCATGCAATGTTTTGCACGTTCCCGTCGTTTTTTTCTCTACAGCAAGTCACATAGTGTGTAGTAGATAGTGTCATGTGCTCCCTTCGAGTGCTCTTTCGATTGTCTACTCTTTTTCATTTGCATCGCACTACCTCTTTATTTATTTGTTCGTTATTGAAAATTTGAAAATCGTTTTGCAGTTTTGCAGCATAATGCCACCCGTTGCTGCACATACCGGCGTGCCCGGCGGGCAACCGACATGCTTTCAGAAGGTGTGCTTTCTAAATCTTAACTCTTGCTGAGGACATAAATGTGCTTTCTAAATTAATAACTCTTGCTGAGGACATAAAAAGTCCATTTTATATTTGCTCAGATACGATTGGGTTTCATGATGGGTTGTATGATTGGTGGTGCTACCGGTGTTCTTATTGGTGGTTTTGCTGGCTTACGGATGGGCTTGCGAGGAAAGGAGTTACTCAAACAGGTGATTTTTCTTCTTATTTGATTTGTATCTTCGAACATGTTTCTGTTTTCCCTTTTGATATTTCATGCATATTTTATTTTTTCCAACTTTCCTTTTGAAGACTCCTTGTTTTGGAGATTAGGAAATTCTCGCAGTTCCCTCAAAATGTATAGGATATTCATAAAATCACGACGGTGCTGAGGTATCCAAAAATAAAACATTCGAAAATGAAATTTTAGAAAATGCGGTGCCGGAAAGACGTGTGCGACGCGCGCGACGTGTCATCGTCACGATTTTACGAGTGCATTGTATCTGTTTTGGACAATATTCGAGCGAATTTGGTTTTTCTGAAAGCCGCCTCCCGCTAAGCTGCTCGGATTTTGTAGTTTGGCAGGCCCCCCAACTAAAAATCAGTGAAGTGTGGAACATAAAACGCGTCTACAAAGCTTGGAATTCGTTCCAGAGATTTGGACCCGTTTCTCCCTCCCGGCCGCCCACACATCGATTTTGTATATTCTGCATCCGCCTCTGTTATAACCATAGTATCACTAACGGATCTGCGTCTCCAACTTTAGCAGCTCTGCTGCACACATCCAATTCCAAAATTGAGGTCTTCGGGACCGGCCATAATAATCTAGGTGACCAGCTCCTGCTATTCATGCTATCTCTGTAATTCCTCGACTTCCAATGTGCCGCAATACGGCGCGCTTTCCCACTTTGTTATTTGATGTTGCGTAAGGCGAAGTTGCATAAATCGTAGACTTCGCCTTAAAGAAGGTTCTTCCCTTTTTTTGTATGTTAGCAAAGAAACCCTTTACATCATCTTCCGCTAATTCATTTTTCACAATGAAGACTATATCTGTTCCTAGCGGATAGGTTAACACTAAGAAAACGAAAACAATCCACCTATAGTCAGTATTTCCCAGATTTCGTATTGATCGCTTTGAATTAGAAGGCTAAAGACGCTTTGCACACTTATGATCAATAACATTATGATGATCTATGTCTTTTCTTGGACAATTTATTACTTGGAATAAAGGAGAACAAATCCTATATGTTCAAACGTGTACAAAGCGTTGTCGAGGTTCCTCATCTCAGAACAGATGGTATCTTGCTTCGAGTTTACAAGGTAATGCACATAATGTATAGGCTGCTGCATGACGAAGGCGCATTATCTTTGGGCGCGAACGCGGCTTTATTAGCCGCAGAGCGCATAAGGTGCAGGATTTACAACGGTGAGGATACGCGCGTTTCGCGTTCGCTCCCGCTCACCCAATGCTGCTTCTGCGCCTTCGTCATGCAGCTGCCTTTACATAGTTTCAAAAGAACAGAGGCAACATCAGTCGTGGGTATCATGGGTGATTTGACCGTTCTAAAATACGTCCAAACGTTTGTTGGCACCTACAGACTGACTTCTGTGTGGCATGAGAAGGGAAAATAATGTATACTGCGAATAAACAATATATACTGTGAAGTGAAGTCTTTTCTTACGCGACACCAAATGACAAACTGAAGCGCGCCGTAATGCGGCGCATCGGAAGAGGATTTACAGGAATTACCTGGAGTAGTATGACCGGTCGGTCCCTTCGGGAAAAACGCGATTGGACAGGCGCTGTCCAGCTATCGGGTCGTTTTGAAAGTTTTTATCTTTTTTTGAGATACAATAAAAACACCTAAAATTGATAGGTAAACTATCCAAACTATGCGACGCAGCTTTTCTTCTTTCTAGCTGCATGTTTCCAAACTGTTTCTCTTGTGTCGGCAAAATAATCCAAATTTTGAAGACTATTCGCCAATTCCAGCTCCAGTAGTTTTTCATGTTTATCTTCGATTTTGAAAAGAGTTGCGGGGTTGAACAAAGTGCAACACACTTGAAGTTATTTTTAATCGTGAAAATTCACTTACAGTAACATCATACTCAACATCAATCGCTGAACAACTTGGGTGTCATTGAATCCAGTTTTTTTCCTCTTTCTGATAGAATTTATTTTCTTCCCTGTTTTGTAAACACTTTCAAAATTCATATTCAGCGATGAGCATTTATTGTAAACTGAGGTTAAGACAATTTCTAATGCTCACGAGTTTTCCTTCCATGTGTACGTCTATGCCACTTCGCAAGATCGAGAATTGTTAGAAAATCCTTTTTGCAGTTGGAGGTACAAAAGATTTTTTGTATTACACGTTTACTCACTCCATCCGCTGTCGAACTCTCAGAAGTACGACTCCAAGAAAGAAGGGGAAAAGCTGTCTTGAACAGTGTTTGAAACGTTTGCCTATTCCTGTTTGGCTTGATTTCATGATAGATCGAAAAGGACAAGAAGTTTTGAAACTTCTTTTATATCTCCGAAATTAGCGAGAAGGTAATCCCAGATAAGCGAGAATTTCACAGACAGAGATTTGGCAGGGCGTCATCTTTGAAGGTTCAAAGATTCAAAATTTTTCGTCATTTATCATAGGCAAGCGTCACTCTCTTCCAGACAATGGTTGGAACATGTTCATGCGTAGGATCATGATTTCTGCGTTTGGCAGGCTGGGAGCGTTCAAAAATTTCGTGTCGTAATGCTCACTGGTATCGCAGCCTTGTTGTTAGTTTGTAATCCAGGATCACTCCTCGAAAGTCGCTATTTTTGAATAAAAACCCGGAAGAAATTGTGCAATGGTAATGTAATTTTGTGATTTCAGACGGGTAAAATAGTGGCGCAATCAGGAGGTTCGTTTGGTATCTTCATGTCGGTTGCTCAAGGCCTTCGGTGTTGATGTAGTATGTAAGCAATTTTCTATAGTCTGGCCTTTTTTTTAGATTATGACAGTGCTTCTTTCAGAGCGATAGATCTGCATAGAACATCAGAATTGTTACGTTACTAACAGTCAACTTTTTGTGCAAATTGTATTTTTTACTTGTAGATTTGTTGTGTTTTTGATGTCGATTTGTTTCTTAGGCCTATAAATTTCTATTTTACTCACTTGTTTTTCTTTTTTTTTTGCTTTCAGTGCGCAAGTTTGCCAGTTTGTAAGACTGATAAGAGTTTTTTTACAGTCCATTTGTCATATATTTCACGCCTGTTATTTCTTTTGCACTCACAAGGGAAGGATATCTGGTGGCCATGGTCATACGCAATGATTTGTGTGTCAGAAAGATGCGCCTTTCAGTGCTGATTTCGAACACTGTCTTCCATATCTGCGAAACGATGATCTAGAATGGAGTTATGGTTTTGTTTCATGACTAAATTGCGCTCTTGTGGAAGTTTAGAAACATCATAAGATTTTTTCTTTCCTTTTAAATGCTGAATAAGGTTTAGATAGGTGAAATACAACAGTATTCTTTCAAGAGTTTCTTCAATAGCTTCAAAAGGTAACCTAGAACAAATTGATTTTGACTATCCAAAAGTACGCAAATTTTCTATGAGAGAAGTTCATAACTTCACTCTGAAGATCGTTTCAGACATCGAGCCCAGAGTTAGAATCAGCGTTTCGAGGTGCATCTTACGATATACACCGCAATCCAAATGGCCGCGGTCATGGAGTTATCCTTTCTTTGTTAGAGAGAACAGAAGCGAATTTTTGCCATTTGCATTGCAAAGCTGCTACATACATTATACTTAGGATCAAATTGAATAAATATTTGAGTATTCGAATAAAGTATTCGAATAAAATTTATTCGAAATTCGATCTCGAAAAATATAGAATCTCGGATATACAGGGTGTCCCAAAAAAGTGTACTCACTGTTTGATTGTAAATAACTCTCTTGTAATGAAGTGTTTCGAAAAGCTTTAGGTAACATTTTGTAGAGCGAGGGCAAACTTAGTTTTACAGTAAGCAATGAATTATCAATCTCTCTTCATTACTGTAGGATTACGGTACGAACTTCGACAAGGATTTTGGGCTATTGGAGGCCATATTCTGCCTTGGAACAAAACCATCTACGGTAATGTGAGCCGCTAATTTCGAATTTGAAATTCCCGTTTTACTGTGATGTTTCTTTCCTAAGTTATCCCCTGTAAATCGTAATAACTCAATTCCCAGCATCTGTCAGAAAATTACACCGGCAAAAAAAAAACTGAAAACACTCGTAAAAAGTTGTCAGGTGGAATCAGCATGCGCGAAAACCCTAGTATACGATTTTCAGATTTTTTGAAAAAAATTTGTTATTTGGTATATTTCACAATGGTTCCATACGCTGGAAGTTTTAGGTAATGCTACAGTAATGAAGATCGATCAATGATTTGCTCTATCTGTAAATCTAAGCTTGACCCCGCTCTACAAAATGGTACCTAAAGCTTCTCGAAACACTTCAGTAAAAGAGAGTTATTTACAATCAAACAGTGAGTACATTTTTTTGGGACACCCTGTATTCGATATTCGCTTATCCGAAACTTATCATTTTCCAACTTATTCGAACATTCGGGTATTCGAACTTTTTGATTTTCGATTATATATAAACATTCGAATATATATTTTCTAGTTATTCGATTATTCGACAATTACGTGTAATCTAATAAGTGTATGACTCTAGTTGCTTGTGTCACTCGCGCTCGCGCCCTTTCCCTTCCAGTTGTTTCCCTGCATTCACCCGCCATTCCATCGCATGTCGGTATTGCCAAAACCACGTTTTCGCATGGATGCGAGTGTGGTTTGAATTTGATCACGAAATCAATCAATTCAGTAATTTTAATGGATCAACTTTCTGAAGGGAATGAATACTCGATCAGGGGATTCAAAGCACGCGAGCCTTTCTAAGTTTTGGCTTCTCAAAATGTCTTTCAGATGTTGAAAGAGAGCCTGAGCACAACAATGCTCACAAAAGAGTCAACCTGTTTGAACTAGAAGTGAGAAGCTAGAGTTCGTGTACAAGTTTAGTTGTGCATGCTGCTGGGGTACTGGCTGTTGTGAAGCGATAGGCGCGTACTAATTACAATGACTATAACGCTTACTGGTATCGATGGTAAACAAATTTTGATTGAAGGTAAGCGTTAATGTGGGCGTGAATGAGCATTTTTCTTTTACTGGTTTGCGCTCTTAACAGTGAGGACGGGAAACTGGTTTTCAGAGTGAATTAGAATGGCGACTTGTATAGCTTGTGGATGTAGACCGAGCAGAGCCGGATCTGCCATCAATTTGGTAGTATGCTTCACATTTTTGATTGCTACAGCAGCAATTATCGCTTGTTCCTTAACACGTTTCGGACCGCGAAATCGCGCGCGGCGAAAAAGAGGGTACTTTCGATGGTAAACAGCCAACAAAGGGATCTTATTTCCCAAACTGTGTGCTACATCTGTAATCAGTATGTCAGATAAGGTCGATACCCATAGTTCTGAATGAATTCGAAGTGTGGCGGCTTTAGGCGTAAGGGTGGCGCCTTGAGAAATGGGCTAAGGGTGGGCCCGTACGAATGTAAAACACAACAAAGATGATATTAGAGAGTTTATTGAGAGCTCAACCGCACACGGTGGTGCAGTGGTAGAATATGTGGTGATAACAGGCGGAGTCAAAAATATTCTTTGCGCACGCTTATATCATATGAGGTCACCAAATGGTGACCTTAACGGTGCTTACACGAAAAACAACGTAACGAGCGATATGGATGAAACGGGTGCCGCTAATATCGGCACACTCCGGGGGCGACAAACAGCAAATTTGCAAAAACAAGGCTACAGCGATAAAAGTAAGTAGAAGAAATCAAACATGAATAGAATAGGGGAAAGTTACAGGAAAAAGATAATTACGGCTCCATCGTTGATCCAATCCTTGTCGTCGGGGTCCAATGGTCGAGCGGGTGTTTGGCAGTAGATTAGGGGGTGAGAAAGACATCTAGGGACGATGACGTGGCGTTAACTTGTTTGATCCTGACCGACGTGAAGAGATATTGCACCTGATGAAGACCAAAGCTAAAGTAAATATAATTATTGATTTCTACAAGTCTGTCTAGCGCATTGCACGAGCGCTTTGGCTACCTTCAGCAGGGCACATAGTAGGTACGCAATTGCACCAAAAACCAATTTTATCACAGTAAGGATAACTACTGGTCCAAATAGATAAGTGAGGCCTGCTGCTGCAAGTGCAGCAACTCCAGCGGCCACAAAGGCTTTCCAGTGGTTCTGTATGACCATTATCAGTGGGTGGAGGTCTGATACATGTATGTCATAGATCATGTCCAACCAGCTCATGGGTTTTTGGTCTTCTTCGTTAAACTTGAACACGGAATCATGTTTAGAGTGGTGGTAGAACAGCGTTCCATTCAACGGCAGGAGCCATTTTCGGTCGCCACAGCTTGCATGGCACTTTCGCTGAACTACTGCGGAATCGAAGTGCAGCAACATCATGGTTGACGGCTTCGTTGGACCACATCGGACAGAAAATGAGATCTCGTCGCATGAAATAGTGATCTCTGTAGGATCTTTCGACAAGCATGTCACATTTATGTTGGCCCCTGGTAGACAACTGTAACACCCAGCTATGTTGCTCATTCTGATGTCACATTTTTCTTCGTAGACAAATTCAGCGCTGTCGAGCAGGATGTTCGATTGGACTGTCACAATCGTCTCAATGTCCTTGACTAGGGCTGACAGTGCCGAGCCATTGGAATGAATTTCTACGGAGGGGGCCAGCAGGGGTAATCGATTACTGCTGTCATCTTCTACAGTACGCAAAGAGTAATCTGGACAGTGGCAATGATGCTTGGTCCAGCCTGTGTTGCAATCGCAAATAATTTTGTTAACGCAATTCTTGAAGTTGTTCAATGCTTCATTCCGTGTCGCACATACGACCGGCAGCCTGAAGTCGTCGGGTAGAATGACTGAGGTGTCGCTTGACAGTGCGAACCTTCTGTTCAGCACTGGTAGGTGCGAACTCTGTACAGATGTGGCAGTGATATTGAATCCTCGCAATTTGGCCGTTATGTACGGAGTCAAGGCAATGCCCTCTTTTCGGGTTACTTGTGACAAGCTACTCTCCACTTCGATGTGCAGTGATGGTGTCCATTCACTGCATCGTACAATTTCATGCACCGTTCCGGACACGGGTATATGGGCGACCTTATAGAAGGTGCAGGAGGGGGATGGCAGGAGGCAGCCGCAGCTCATCCCTCCGCAAGTGTATTGACAACCAATGTATCCTGGAAAGTCTCTTGCTTGCGACAGCTCCGGTACAGTATCGTTACGACTGATCGTGTCGCATATATTTCCGTAGCAGGAGCCTGCTTGGGAGCATCTGACTGCTGAGTACACCCGGTGAATCGTACTTCTGGTGTACGTTATCGATTCTTTGGAGCAGATTAGACTAGCGGCTCTTAATTTTACCTTGAGCAGACCGACCGTTCTGTTCTGGTGGCGGATTTCAATGCAATGCTCGTTCTGAATCCTGTTGAACAAGAGTTCTCTGCTAAGCTCCAAGTTGCAGATATTGTTTTGATCGCATACAATATTGGTGCTATATCGGGTAAAACCATGTTGGCATGCATCCACCGCGTTCGTTCCTGCCATAACTGCAATGCACAATGTGATTAGCAACCCACCGCTTAACGGAGTCGGATTCAAGGAATGTAGCTGGACATTTTCCCGAGGTACATTGATGGAGTATACATTTTGCACTGGTGCAGGACTCTTACGGGTGATTCTGATAAGTGATAACATTCCCCACAGTGATATGAGAATCAGCATACTAATTAAGTAGAAGATCATGGCAACGGTTATAGCAGCACCAACCGGCCAACAGTTTGGGTTCCCTAGCAATGATATGCTAAGTAGTGATCTTGATAATGCACAGAAGTCAGGATTTGAGCACATCAGGGCATAATCGGTGGGTGTTTCATCTTCAACATATTTTATCGCAACTTTGGTGTGCGATTGCGTGGGTGACGGCGGTAGTTTGTAAGTGCGTATCTCACTGGAGCCGGGGAA